TTACAAGCTTTTAAGACCCCAGTCACTACTCACCAAATTAGAATGTAGAACATTATCTTTGTGAATAATATTATGTCAGTTGAACTTGGTGTCCCCAAGACCATGGTCTTGATTCCTCAGACCAAGTGACTCATTCCCTCAAGGTGTGTGGCTATGTCTAAGGCATTTTCATAGTGCTTTTTTTTCCTCCTGTAATCACTACCACATTCATGAATAGATTTTCAGCAAAGGGAAATAAACTTAAGTAAATATTTCCTGTACATATTCATGGGTATATATACCCATTCTCCCACTTAAACACCTATCTATTCAACCTGTCTGCCATTCTGATTTTCAGGTATACCCAAATCTGGCCTTGTTACCCTCTAGCTGATGACCCATCAGTGTTGCCTCCTCAGCTCCAGGAAAGAGTCCATATCCTCCTATTGGAATGTCTTGGAGCTTAGGGTCTGGCCCTGCCACCACGCTTCCTGTTCTTTCCACTTAGCAGCCACACTCCCTACGTTAGCTACTTGGGGTTCTACTAATGCTTCATCCTGTTTCTTTCTCTTCCCCTCTTGATTCTCTCCTGGTCTACCTGGACCTGCACCCCCTCAACCTTTGAGCCTCAGCTTGTGTCACCATTCTTGTGGCATCATCTTCTACCCTTTCCCATCCCAGAGCTACCCATGAGCAACCCCTTTGGGGGTCGAAAGACCCTTTCACAGGGGTTGCCCTATTCATAACAGTAGCAAAATTGCAGTTATGAAGTAGCAACAAAAATAATTTGATGGTTGGGGTATCACCACAACATGAGAAACTGTATTAAAGGGTCATGGCATGAGGAACATGGAGAAACACTGGTCTGGACAGTTACCTGTGGCACTGGACTGCCTTTTTTACTTGGACATGTTTTCTCCCCCTGCTTGGTGGTAGGTATCTTGCTGCCACCATGTTAAGCAACATATAATCTCCAGCATCTGGCACAGTTCTAGCCCAGAGCTCCTCCATGATGGAGAAGTGTGATGGAATTCAACACTGGCTCACATGTTCACAGTACTCCCCAAAACACACTCTGCTGCTGATAGCTAACCTGCACATGAAATGAGGCCAAACTATTTAAGACCAAGTCCAAGGCTGTCTTTCAGACTTTTTAATCTAGAAGGAACAATGGTCTTGAATTACCCATTTTTTGTATAGATTGACCCTTGCTCACAAACTTTTTTTTAAATCATTTTATTGGGGGCTCATACAACTTATCACAATCCATACATACATCAATTGGGTAAAACACATTTGTACATTCGTTGCCCTCATCATTCTCAAAACATTTGCTCTCCACGTAAGCCCCTGGCACCAGGTCCTCATTTTTCCTCCTCCCTCATGAACCCTTGATAATTTATAAATTATTATATTGTCATGTCTTACACTGTCCGACGTTTCCCTTCACCCACTTTTCTGTTGTCCGTCCCCCAGGGAGGAGGTTATATGTAGATCCCTGAAATCGGTTCCCCCTTTCCACCCTCCCTCCACGCTCACGAACTTTTAGGGTTATGTGTTTGGTCTTGAAATGAGATATATCATTTTTTTCTGCTGAGATGATACTGTTTCTGTGTGTCCCAAGGGGAGCATTCATGGTTTTATTCCCTTGCATAGAGTAGGGACTTCGTCGTAATTGTTGACTCCATTTGTTCGGCTTTGGTTATGTTGAAATGGATGTGGGCCCACTATTCACTGCTGAGAAAGAACAGTAGGAATATGAGTTGAAATAGTCTAGCGTTAAGACAGGTAGATGTTAGTGAAAGCAGTGGCTGTAGTCAGTGGAGGTGCCCGTGAGTACAGCAAGCCTGATTCTCCGTGGACTCGAAGGGATCCAGATGAATAGATTTGACCCCTGAGCTCCAAATGAAGAGCTACATTTCTGCCTCGGCCTCCTCCTCCTTGTCATTACCTCCTGTGCAGAGTTTAGACATATCTAGAATCAGGTTGCTATGAGTCAGAATTGAATTGATGGCAGTGAGCTTGGGGTTGTTGGGGGTTTTTTTTGAGAAAAGGTCAGCAGCTCAGAGAGCACAAAGGAACTGTAGGTAGTTTAAGTATGGGGAGTTTGATTCTTGTATGCAAAGAGAAAAGAAAGTGATTAACGAAATTGAAAGTTTGATTCAGTCGCATTAAACAACAACATGCCAAGAGTGATATGGACCCTGAGGGGAGAGGGGAGACGTGTCCGAAGGTGTAGTGAGGATGCATCAGAAAGGCTCAAGAACGTCGGTGTTCATCCAGAAGCTGAACAGTGAACAGAGTTGTGGGAGCAAGTCTCCTGACAGCCTCTCCTTTTTAAATCTGCCGTTAGCAACGACGGCCACGGAAGGTGGGATGGTCTCCAGTTTGAACAGGGGACTGCATGCCTGTGTCTGCACAGTGGCCCCGCAAGTAGAGCCAAACTCAGAAACACATCCAAATATGGATGTGTTTACATGGGAAAGCCAGTTGTGTTTAAAATATTATTCAAGTCTCCAAGGATGGGAATTATTTCTGGAGAATTATATTTGCTGGTGGGAGCTATTTTAAATAGTTCCATGTCTTTACCCCCTGTAACTCATTAAAGTTATTGGGGGGGGGCTTGTTTTCCCCCCCAATTTTCTTTCCTTTCGGGGTTTTAAAAATAACTTACTAGCTTTGTAAAAAGGTATTTCTTATTATAGGAGCAACCAAATAAAGTAAAGATTTAAAAAGTGATGGGAAAATGTAGCTGAAAGGCAGGATTAGACTCTGTAGTAGTAGGAGTCACAATAGCTGTTCTTTCCCCGGGACTCATATCCATGGGTGTTCTCGCTCACCCAGCCCCCTCCCTTTGGTTGTAAACAGACAATGAAACTTTTGCTCACAGCTTAACTACATGAGCAATTAACTCTAATATATTTACGACTGGGGGGGGTGTATGTCCCAGGAAAATAAAGCCAATAGTCTAATGCATAATTTTTGTAATGGTTAGTGGGTTGCATGACACTTAGGTATAAAAGGTAAGCAGTTGCTGTAATTGACAGAAACATACCTTAATACAACAAAAAAATACTTTTATCACATCATTTAGTTATCCAGAATCTTTAAAGAGAGAATGTCGATCATTGCTTTGGCATCACAGGCAGACAGGCAGTTTAAGATCATTTCCCACATAGATGACGAGTGTCGCTGGCTTTGGGGACTACAGTCCTCAGCTCCTCCTCTGGGCACAGGACATGCCTTGGACCTCAGTGACCTTTCAGTTACCTAGTGAAGGAAAATAACTGCAACGATCTCTGGAAGTAGTAAGCCTGTTAATCACCCTCATGGCACTGAGAGGAGGGAGAGAGAGAAGGTGGAGGCACAGCACCTGTGTCTGAAGAGGAACAAAAGATTGTTACCCAGATGGCAGGAGGGCCCAGAATGTGGAGACGACAGACCAGAGGCTTCTGTGATTTTTAGATTTTATTTTCAAACTTTTTGTTGTGCATTGAGTGAGGAGCAGCTCCATTTCCCACCCGACAATTCGTACACCTTTTGTTTCATGTCATTGATTGTAATCCTCACAGTGTAATATCACTTATCCTACTTATTCCTGAGTTTCCAGTCCTGCTTCCCTAACCCTCAGAGACTTCTTTAGCATATACTCTGGGTAAGCGTTTTATAGCTTGCCTACCACTCAAACCAAGACAGCCCTGGGAGGTCATTCAAAGTCGTCCGGCGTGGGAGCTCATAGCGGGAGCATGGCCTCCGAGAGACTGATTAGGAGAGGTCACCCCCAGTGCTTCAGCAGCCGCAAGCTTTCCTGGAATACAGGTGCAGGGACTCAACTCCTGTGGGATTTATTTTTAGATAGCCAGTCTCAACTCCTTCCTTCTTTATTTTTAATCCTTTGCTTATAATTGTATCCTATACTTTTTTTTTCCTGTAGTAAAAATCTAGCCTTGGATATTTTAGTTATACATTAGCTTAGTGCTAGCATACAGGTGATTGCCACCAGCGTACATCTGGTCACCCAAACTCCAAGGTTAGCATTATATTTAATTACATGTGTCCCCTCACTCCTCACATGTATTGTCCTGGCTGTTCAATCCCTGCGGTGGGTCTCTGATCCGATCTGCCTATTCTTTTCCAGCCATTGTTGAGATCTTATTTTTTTTCACACCACTATGTTGTTGGTGGTGGTTCTTTGCTTTTTTAACCAGGTCTGATTTTCTTCTTTCTGTCTCACACTCTACTGCAAGGACAGTTCCCCTAAAAGTTGGTTCCAATCATGTCCCTTTTCTAACTCAAACCCTCCATCTATTCTACCACATCCCGCCAAATTAGAGGCAGATTTCTTTACAGCCTCATCTCCGCTTTCTCCCTCTCCCATCCTGTATACCCTTCTCTTCTCCTGCCCTCCACACCGTCCCCCACCCCCCTCCTCCTAGCTCTGGCCCCAGACATCTTCTTTACCCTCTCATCCAAGTGTCTAGAGCCCACCAGAAGATTAGGGACTTGGACACATAGGCCAGAGGCTTGAGTTCTAGTCCTGGAATTTACTAGCAGTATGGTCTTGGGGACGATCATAAAAGTGACTGGTTCAGAGTTCCTGTGGGGGTTCAATGAGTGAGACCATCTGTACACCGTACTTAGAATGGTGTCTGCCACTAGTAAACAAACAGTAATGCCGGCGCTTTATGACTTCCGTCTCCATTGCTGACTCAAATGATACGTCTTCCAGGAAACCTGCCTTCAGGTCAGCCTTACAGACCTGAAAACTGGCTTTATTCATTAAACCTGGGGTGATTGGTGTCTTATTCATGAAAAAAATACTGTATAAAGCTTCTTCTTCTTCTTTTTTAATTTGCCATAGGGTCAATTACTTTTTCATGATGAAAATAGTTAAATCCCTGACCTTTCCCAGTGCAAAGGTCTTGGGAAAGCTACATTATGATTGGGAAAGTTTTCTCTCTTTTAGGCGGTGCTAAATGTACAGCCGAAGGAGCCCTGGTGGTGTAGTGGTTACACACTGGGCTGCTGACTGCAAGCTTCGAAGCCACCAACTGCTCCTTGGGAAAAAGACAGGCTTTCTACCCCTGCAAATGGCTACAGTCTCAGAAACTCTCAGGGGCAGTCTTCTCTGCCCTATGGGGTCCCTGTGAGTCTGCATGGAAGAGCTGGCAGTGCGTTTGGTTTGGTTTTGAATGTGAAGTCCCATCTCTCGTATCTTTGTACCTCATTTTCTGTTCTTCCGTTAGTCTGGCCTTTCTTTAGGTGGGTTAAGTTACCGACGTCCCTGGTGGTACAAAGAGTTTGCACTCAGCTGTAACAGAAAGGACATCACGTTCAGTAAAGTGGAAGGGCAGAGTGAAAGAACACCCTGACCAAGCTGGACTGATAGTCACAGAAGTAATGGCACAGGAGTGTGCAGTGTTTCATTCCGGTGCTCCAAGTTGACACCTGAAAACGCAGACGAGAGAAAGGTTGGATTGAGGTGCAACCTAGACCAAGTCTCTCATTGAGTGGACCAAGAACCAACTGTGGTAGGATTACCACAACTAATTATTAGCAATATAGGTTCCTGGACCCATCTTCACATCTTTTGGGTCAAAATCTTGAGGATTAGACCCAAGAAGCAAATTTTGCCTGCGTGGTCTTAATGTGCACTAAAATAAACTTTGAGAACCATTAGTTTATATTCTGTTTCCATGGGCCTAAAAGAAATTCTATCTTATGAGTGGACTTAATTTGCTGTCTTATAAGTGTACTTAAGTTATCAACCTCGGCATTCATCTTAATGTTCTCCTTATGTTTGAGAGTTCGCGTCCAAGTTCTGCCTTCCCACCTACACTTATCACTACCTAGCATTTACTCAATGCAGCAACATAATATATATTGAGTAAATAATTAGTAAGCATTTAGTTGACGTTTCATAGGCTAATAAGGTTAATAAATACATTAAGCTTACCTAGAAACTTATTAACCTTTAATTAAGCTGTCTTTAAGGACTCAGAACTTAAAATTTCGACTTAAGCCATTTGGTATATTTTCTTAAAGGAAAAATAGCAATATATTAACATACCTGGTACAGTTCTTTGGCTTTAGCTTAGCGAATAGAGAATCCATGGTATTTGTTTTATATTTTATGGATTAAAGTACTTTAATTGGAATTCACAACAAATAAAAAATTTTAAACTTTATAGGAAATATCACATCTTTTTAAATTGACTTAGACTTCAGAGAAATTTTCTCTTAAAAATAACTTGACTGTTGACTGTGAAAAAAACACGTGTGGTGGGAGCTCACTGTTCCCATAGACCTTCCTGGCAGACCTGCCGCCCAGGGTTAGAGATTCTTTTGTTACCTGCCCTTTGATTTGGAAGGGAGTTTCCGGCTAGCCTTCTTTACGTTGTGATTTGATTAGGGTTCTCGATCTTCTCTCAGGACACAGGCATTACGAACATTTCAGACGGAGACCATTCTAAAGGAATCAAAATAACCGTGTCTGTTAAGTAACGTGAATGTTAGAGCACTTTAATGAACATCATGCACCAAAATTAGTTTAGAATTTTCAAAGTGCTGTTTCGAATCAGAGAAATTTACTAATCCATGAACTAATAGAAATGATAGCATTATCTAAAATCGTCTCTTCTTCCCCGCTAGGTTTCTGTGACAGTGAGAAAGACAGACCTGGCGAAGGTATGGCTCATTTATCCACCCGCATTCCCACGGCATGCTGATGGTCCCATCAAGTCTTGCTTTCAAAACCTTAACGAATTAAGACTCATGTTTTCAGGACTTTTCACAATGCTGACAACTGCCCCTTGGCTTACTTTTCTGAGCTGTTCTGTGAAATTAAGGCCAATCATAAAACCATAAGAATTAAAATTCATAACTAATTTACAGAGGTTCATTGTTATCCTATGTCCTTGCAGTCACAAGGCGGTGGGGAAGCAAAGGTTAGGGTCACTTGAAAATATTAATGAACTGATCACTTAAACTAGTTTTTTTTTTTAAATCAATTTATTGGGGCTCATACAATTTGTTGACCTCATTATTCCCAAAATTCGCTTGCCTCTTAGGTTCCCGGAATCAGCTCATTTTCCTTTTTTTCCCCCTCCCCTTCCCTTCCTCCTCCCCTCTCCCCCATGCACCCTTAATAATTTAGAAATTATTATTGTATCTTATATTACACTGTCCGGCATCTCCCTTCACCCACCCTTCTGCTGCCCCTCCCCCAGAGAGGAGGTTATATGTAGCTCCCTGTGATCCATTCCCCCTTTCTTCACCCCCTTTGCCTCCTGGTATCGCCACTGTCACCCCTGGTCCTGAGAGGTTCATCTGTCCTAGATTCCCTGTGTTTCTAATTCCCATTTGTACCGCTGTGCATCATCTGGTCTAACCAGGTCTGCAAGGCAATATTGGGGTCCTGGTAGTTGGGGGGAGGAAGCGTTTAAGAACCAGAGGAAGGTTGTGGGTTTCATTATTGCTATACTGTACCCTAAGTGACTCATCTCCCCACTACCCCTCTAGAAGGTATGTCCAGTTGTCTAGAGATGGGCATTGGGTCTCCATCACGCGCCACCCTCATTGATGAGGATATGATCCCCCCTCCCCACCTTTGGTGTTTAAAGCCTGGTCCCTTTGGCCCTTCATGATCACACATGTTGGTGTGCTGCTTCCATGTGGGCTTTGTTACTTCTGGGCTAGATGGCCGCTTATTTACTTTCAAGCCTTTAAGTCCCAAGACGCTATAGGTCTCGATAGCCGGGCACCATCAGCCTTCTTCACCACACTTACTTATGCACACATTCGTCTTAAGCGTTTATGTGTGGAAGGTGGTCACACAATGATGTTTTTTGTTCTTTGGTGTCTGCTGCCTGTTTCCTTCAACACCTCGTGTTTGCACAGGCTCATGTGCTTCTTCTCTGTGGACTTTGTTGTTTCCGAGCTAGATGGCCGCTTGTTTGCCTACAAGCCTTTAAGACCCCAGATGCTATATCTTTTGATAGCCGGGCACCATCAGCTTTCTTCACCACATTTTCTTATGCACACATCTGAACTTAAACTAGTTTTTAAAATGACCATCCACCATTGTCTTGTCTCTGCCCTTCTAGACAGTCTCTTTGAGTCAGTTATTTCCATGTTTCATCTTTCCTTGCAAAAGATGCTGTGCTTCATAGAACCAGTCAAAGCAATATTGGAGATTTACTGAAATGACACCCAAAGCCAATGACAATCAAGGGTTTGGCAGTTCATTTATTCATTTGGTACCAGGCACTGTTTCCTCTTCTCTAAATCTTTATAAACTGAAAGGAAGATAAGTGAACAAGTAAATGAGGTTTATGTGTTAGAACACTATGAGCTCACAGGGAATATCATACGTGAAGCATCCTGCATTAGAGTCCTGATTCTCTATCATTGCCCTACCTCTTCCTTTCCTGGAAACCCATTTTAGGCCATGAATGAAATCATAAAAATGTAAAACATCAATAAACATCTAATTCACCGAGACAAAATAAATGAAATGGCTTCAGAGTTGGCTTGCATTTCCCTAATGAGTTGTTAAGATTCCCAACAACTCTTGGATAAGACAAGGAACTGAAAATAATGGGTTTTCGGAAAAGGCATCCCCTTTAAGACACTGGACTCTGCCCCAGCTGTATTCATGTGCAGTGTCCCCATGAGTTGGAAAAATTCCTCCCTAAGCCCTTGAAACCTTTCTTAGTGTCCAGCAGTACCTTTCCGAGCGATTTTTGAAAGGTCACCTGGTGGAACCCCAGCTGCTCTGAGGGAGAAAGAGGAGGCAACCTGAAGGGTCGCTATGAACTGGAATCGACCCCACAGCAGTGGGTCTGGTTTTGGGTTTAGCCCTTGTCTTTCTCTGAAAACAGAAAAATGTACTTGTTTTATGGCTCAGCACAGTATGAAAGCTGGCATGATTAAATGGTAAAGCAGAAAACTGTGGACTATTCCCAAAGTACAGATCCAGATTATTTTATAGCATCAAAGAGCCAATAACGGTCTCTTTCTTCAGCTGTTCAAGCTCAAGTCTCCTGTTTTTCATTCCCCCTCTCCCCCCGCTTCTCAGATCATTACCAAGGAGCTCCACTGCTCATCTCCATTCACTACTGCCTTCACTTCGGCTTCCCTAGAGTACTGCGAGCCTCTCCTCATTCCTCTCCTCCATTCTCTCTTCGGCTCAATTGGCCAGGCCTCCCTGAGCTGATTGGAACCTTCCAAACAGAATTTCCTCCCACTTCCCCTCACTCCGCTACATGCCCATCAAGGAGAGTTACTTTCCTTGTCCGCTGTTTTTCTCCCTCTCTCAGAACGTCCTCTCCTGTGTCTCTGAGGGCTATTCTCAGGGACTTCCTTGGCGCCTTTTTCAACAGCGCTGTATTCTTAGCTCTCTTGGGCCCCCCTGGTTTCTCCTTTCTGTCATGTTTATTTATATGATGCACTTTATCTCCCAACTAGATGAGTCTTTCCTTCAGTGCTGCATCCATGTCGTGCTCATGCCTGCAACCCCCACAGTGGTGCTCACAGGCAGTACCCTGCCTGGCAGACTTTCAATAAATAAGTGTTAAATAAATCCGTTCTCACAAAGATAATTTGTTTGAAGAAGATGGAACAGCTGCCTTCTAATGCAATGAATGTGCTTTCCAACCCCTTTTTAGTGGTATCTTTCCCGGGCCCATTGAAAGAAGAGAATCTGTTAAATGTTCCCAAGTCATTGCCAAAACAGCTGTGGGAGACGGAGGAGGTAGGTGAGCAGTTCTTAGTCCTGTGTGTTGTCACTGAATGTAAGCCCTTGTAAATCCTGCGGAGAAGAAGACAAGAGGAATTGAGGGGTGGGGTGGGGGATGGTGAGGAAGAGGACTTGTTTGGGAACAGAGATGGGGAAAATACAACAGGGCCAGTGTTTCAAAAACATTATCCACACTTGTGGGGATCAATAGTCAAGTGTTCTCTTGACATCCTAAGTCTCACATGAGTTTACTCATTCACAAAAAAACGTATTAGTTCCCCCTATCTTCCCATATTATAAAACGCTGTGAAACTTGATTACAAGCCATAGGAAGATTTTTCTATTTTGTAGAAACACCTTTTACCAACTGCCAACTTTATCCAAAACTGTTAGTTTGCAAGCTGCCCCTTTCTGTAACCAATGGCATTTGACCGAATCCTCTAATCATGTTATCTTTGGGTAACAAGGCCACCCTGGTGTAGGGCTAGGATAGGACAGTGTGACAGTCACGCTAGAGCTTATGGCTACCAAGAGTCATCCGGTTTATTACGTAGGGGCTTCAAAAAGCTTGTGGGGAAGTAGCATTAAAGATTGTGGACTTCTACAAACATTTTGGAGCCCCTTCATATAGCGTCCCTGAGTCTTTGTATCTAACATTATGTGAGCTGACTGCCACCTTGGCCCTCTCTGTAAACCTCACCCGGTGTAAAAGACACAACACCGTCTTTGACTCGACCTTTATTCACACTGGGAAGTGCGGTTGACATTGAAAAATCAGTTAGCCAGTTCCAGCCCCTGATGAGGCTCCCTGGCCATTGTGTGTGTACCTCACCCTCCTGCTTGTCTACCATCCCTTTAGTCCCATCCCATTTTCTTCTGCCCAATCTACCAAAGTTGCCGCTAGCACTAGTGGGGGGTCTTAGGAAGTTTGTTGGGGTTTTCCCTGTAAAATCAAGATGCTTAATCTTTGGAAGAAAAAAAAGGATATGATTTAAAGTTTAGGTATGTAAGCATAGGGGAAGCGTCTGCACGTTGGCGTCCTCTGGCGATGTAGGAGACGCTGTGGTCTGGGAGCGCTCCTGATGGCGCTGCTCTTCCTTTGTGTCAGTCACGCTCTGCCAAGAGGTGCATGTCTTGCTTGGTTATACAGATCCCTAGCCTCCCTCCGTCCTGCTGGCAGAGGAATTAGGCTGATGGGTTTATTAACACACACACGTACTTGTTGCCAAGCTGTTCTAGGTGCAGAATCTCTTGCTGTAAGCAGAAGCAAAATTCCTGCCCACCTGGACCTTCTATCCAAATTGAAGTCCTTATTTTTCTGTGGCTTCCATTTCCTCCTCCTCCACCCCATTGTGCTTCTCTGTTCCTTTCTTTTTACCTCAGGCCATCTCTTCCATGAAGTCTTCCCACATTTCTCTTCCCAGTTGGGGAAGGAATATTTGTTTAAACGTTGGTGTTTGGGAAAGAAATCACATTTGTGTAGCAGATGAATTAATAAGACATCAAGTAAAGGAAATGTATTCATGTCATGCTTCCCTTTTCCTGGAAGTTTAGGAGTGCTAAATATCTTGTCAGAACCTGAATGGCTATCGTGTGCAAATGCTGGTTTATACTTATACTGATGGAGCCCCAAGACACTTTTTTAAGCCCTTCATTTGGCTTCACAATGTGTAAGACCACCTTTCCGTGTCTCTTCCCAGATACAGTCCCTGTCAGGACGCCCTCGATCCTGTGACGTCGGAGGTGGCAAGTAAGTAATGTCTGTGTTCCTGAGGAGAGAGATTTACTCTCACTGAATTCTGAGAAACGTAGTAACTTCTTAAGGATAGGTGAGCAGCGTGTAAGGTTCGGCTCTGCTTTCTGCCGGGCCTTTTAGACTAGCTAAGGGCCCTGTAAACTTTTTTTCCAAAGTACCCCCTTCATTATTTCCGTTCAAACCTTTAAATTAATTAACTGATTTTAAAAACTTAAGTGTAAATGGAAAATCAGTGTAATTTTCAAGAAAACAGAAGATTTCTAGTAGTACTTATGCTTCATTGATTCCAAGTAGTTAAGACACGTAACTGTCATGACAAATAAAGTTGCCATAAATATGGTTGAGAACTACGCTACTGATTCTTCATGAACACATACCTCGGCTGGATCAGAAGCAGAAGCGTGCAGGTGTTATAGAGATAAGCCCTCCCCCAGGCTGTGCACACCTTGCAGGACATGGACATTTACTGATGTGTTTGCTGAAGACAAGGGACAGCATCAGTTAATCTAGCCACTTGACTACTTGGAAGTCAAGAGATTCCAAAAACCCACAAATCATTGACTCATGCATTTTTGTAATGTTCAGTTTTACTCCTTAGGAGATTTTAGCCAGCTTACAAAAAACAAAACATAGTATACAAGATTGAAACCTCAGTGAGTGAATGAGTTTGGGACACGGAGAATACGGAGGTGAGTGAGAGAAGGGCACGCACACCCCAGCAGACCGCCGCCCGAGGGGCCTGGCTGCCGGGTGCGTGCACTGAGCGATAAAGACCGTCTCTGGGGAGAGGCAGAGGCACCACTAGTGACTCCTTGATGCCATGACTGACTGGCAGAACTCTCTTCCCCGGATTGCCCCAGAGAAGACCCCTGGGACTGAATGGGCAGTGTCCTGATCACGCTTGAGTCAGTTTCTCGCAGTGGTTTATCACTGCGTGCCCTGAGTGCAATCTGCAGCTTAGATTGCGAGCAGATTGAGAAATCAGGGGTTTCCAGGGGCCCCAGTGATAGGAGTGATCTAGCGCAGTGTCCATTTTAGAGGATCCATGTTGACTAAGTGTTCTTTAACCAAAGCCAACCCATTGCCATCAATTCTGACTCATGGTAGAACTGTGGCCTCTAAGGTTTTCTGGCCTATAATCTTTACAGAAGCAGATCACCAGGCCTTTCTTAGGCAATCCTTAAATAGTACTTCCCACCACAGAGCAGTCCGTACATTATTACCAGCAGGGTACTCCTATGGAGTACCAGTAGTGCAGACACTCTTTGGTTGGTTAAATTTAAACTCTTGTAGTTAACAGTCTGCTGAGCTGAGGTGAGGGTTGACATTCTCTTCAGAAAGTCAAGGGCTCTGCTAGGCTTCACACCAGAACAAGTGACCATCCTACCTATGGGTGCAGGAAAAGCCACGATCAGACCAAGACTCCTCAAGAACTAATTTTGGTTTGGGTACTTGATGTTCTGGCAGGGAAATATAGACCCACACAAGTAAGTGAATAGTGTACCATGTGCTGTGTGTTGGTGAGTGCAAAGAAGAAAAAGAAAGCAAAGTAAGGAGACTGGCAGTGCTTAGGCCCTGTGCAGGGGCTAAGGGGCTATGTGACCAGAATCCAGAGCGAAGTCGAGGGAAGGTGCCTCCAGGCGGGTGCAAACACCCTGAGGCAGCAGTGGGCTGGGGGGCTGGGGGGCTGGGGGTGGGTGAGCAAGGGTGAATGAGATCAGACAAGCGTGCAAGAGGTGGCTGGCCCCAGATCCCACAGCCCTGGGGGAGGAGCTTGGGTGTGACCCTGAGTGAACCAAAACAGGTGAGAAGATGACTGACTGCCGTATAGCATCGTACATTAACTATATTTGGACAGTGGCCACTTTCATTGATCTCACGTGGAGAGAAATCACTGTTTGTGTGTTCTGATGACTTTGTTCACACTGGCCACCCCTCAACCCCCTGCCACTAGATCCTGGTTCTGTCTGTGCCACTGGGCCCACTTACCGTGCTCCCTCTCTGTCGGCCCCACCTTCACACCTGCGAGTCTTTCTTCCGGCAGTCAGAGAGCCCCTGTGTGCTCATGGCCGGCTGCTCTGGGTACTCAGATTCCGTTTTCTGGTACTTAACCTTTAACCCTATTGCCAGCTCCATGCACCCTGCCATCTGAAGACAAGATAGCACGTTTGGTTTTTCTTCCCTCAGAATGACCTGTCTTCCTCAGACACTACCCTGAGCACCCTTCCTGTGTCCCCCATTTCTTTGCAAACCTCCCATCATCAGAGTCCGACTTCTACCCAGAAAAGAAGGCTGCCATGATGACTGCTCCCCTTCGCCCCTCCACTCTGCCCTCTGGGCTCACATACACACACAGTGGACTCTCCAGGCAAGGCTCACCGCTTACTCCCTTGCTCCCCTGGATATTGCACTTGCTTCCTGTATCCTACCGAATCAGGGACATTTCCCCTCTGTCTTCCATGATCATAGTACTCAGCAGTGTCTAAAGTAGAATGCATGCCCTTTCTCCCCTCTCTTTTATCCCCAGCCTACTTCCACGGTCCCCCATCTTAGTTGATTGCTCCGTGAGTCCACATTCATGAGTCCTGAAAACCAGGAGTCATTTTAGGGTATTTGCTGAAGCCCCTACCCCCAGCCCTCATTCTCTCATAAGACTATTCAGCAGCGTTGTGGCTCACCCCTCTGCCTCTCATGTTCTTCAAGTCTTGGCCGCACTGTCGGAAGAATGACTGAGTGCTGTGGATTGAATTGTGTCTCCCGCAGACTGTGTGGCACCTTGCCATTATTCTCAGTGGTCTGCCAGTTGTATGATGATGTAATCACCCCCCTTGATGGCATTGGCCCTAATCCAGTGTAGGGGGCCTAGGATGGGATGCCTAGCCTTAATTAGCTCACAGTTCTGATCCTGATGTAAGAGGACTTTCCTTGGGATGTGGCCTACATCAGGTGAGACATGAGCAGAGAGAGTGGGACCGACTACCACCGAGAAATAAAAGCCGAGCAGGTTCATCCTTTGAACCTGAGGTCCTTGTGCTGGGAACCTTCTGGAACCAGGAGACACACAGAGACAGCCTTCCCCTAGAACTGGAACTCTGAACTAGCCTCCTAAACTGTGAGAGTCAGTTACTGTTCAGGAACGACATCCACTGGTGATACTTCTCTTACCGCAGCTCTAGATAACTAAGCTACTGTGTCTTCTCCCTGCTTTGAACCTTCCACCGGCTTCCCATCAGTGGGTTATTCTGAGCCACCTGTGCTCTCTGCCTTCCTCTCCAACTGCTCACCCATCACTGCCTGCCTGTCTCCTACGCGTGAGCCTCCTGCGGTGTTGTAAGTCTTTACAGCTACAGCACACAACCACCCTGCTTTTGCCCAGCGTATGTGAACATCGTCTCAAGGGATCTTTCCGCCCATCATCAGAATCCTGTAGCTTTTGTACTTAGGGGCAGCGTGTATCCAACCACGTCCTTGCGAAGCCCTCCCACCTTTCAATCATTCCCTCCACACTTTATGTGCTGGGCCCTGTCATTGCATTATTGGAGTGTATGCTACTGCAAGTTGTCGTGTCTGTGGCTCCTCTCTCCATGTGCCCGGTAAATTGTGCTCTGTTGACTAGTGTCCCCATGGAATTCACTAGCATACCACTTTTCTTGGGTTAATGGCACCCCCCTACAACACCCCCCTCTGTCCCCTTTACTGCCATGCCCCTGTCAGAACTGGCCCATGGCAGGAAGTAACCTCCTCTCCTCTGCACTATGGTGACAGTGACATTTCTCAGTTGTCGTCTTCTGACTGAAGCCTGGCTCTCTAGCTCTCACAGTCGCCAGTTCAGACTCTTGAGAGCAGCATGTCACCTTGCGCTCCGGTTCGTCTCCCACCTGCCTCTCCCGCTTGACCTCCTGCTACCGACCCCACCCTGACCCGGTGGTCTTGCCAAACCACTTGCAGTTCCATGAACATATTGTGTTATGTCCTTGGTAAAATCTTCAACTTTTGTGCCCCCACTTTCATTTGTACCCACTGGTTATGCCCACCCCTTGTTAGACCGGGGCAGTGTGCATCCAACCTTTATTACAGTGACTTGATGTGCACAGCCCAGCCTGACAGGTGGCCCAGGGCCATTCAGAGGAGTGGCAGCGCGTGGCTGTGGAAGCTGAGACCGTCATGGGCATATGCCGCAGTGCAGAACAGAGCTCCAGCTGGGAAGAGGGGCTAGCTCAGGACTGGGGGGCTGCCTCACTCTATACATTCTGGCACCAGACCTTAAGGAGTCTGGGAATTTGAACCCTATTTTCCAGATTCTTGCAAAGGTATAATCTGTGATGGTGGAAAGGAAGAGCATGTGTCATTTAAGAGTTTGTACATTTGATTGATAACATCTAAGATTTTTCACAGCTGGCATGTGGGTTCCATTTGTACTGTTGCCCCAGGCCTGCAAATGTCAGCTCGGGCCATCCATGAATCTGCACACCTTGTTCGTTCATCATTCGTCCCTCCGGGGCTTCGCCTGGTGCCTGGCGCTCAGTGGGAAACCAACAGAGGGTGATCAATGATTAGTGACGTCCTCCTCCTCACTTTAAAGTTTGTGAGGACGGTAATTGGGGGACAAATACATCTTGGAAGGCTCTAGTTGCTGAGAAATATTGTGGGAAGAAAAAGACAATTTAGTGAAAAGAACCTTCTGGATATAAAACAATACCTTCATGTTCTATTTTTTAAAATCACAATTCAGTTTTGACTCATAGCAACCCTATAGGGCAGAGCAGAGGTCCATAGGGTTTCCAAGGCTGTCATCTCTGCTGGG